AGTTTTCCTCTAGTCATTCTTCCACAACTTTTTCAGTACCTTTACGTGCTTCTTCATGTTCTGTGATTCCAATGATGCAGACGATATTTCTTTTAATGGTATCCCACATTATTCTTAAGTATTCTTCTGTTTCCTTCTTTTTTTATTCTGTTTTTTTCTTGGTCAAATCTGTGGTGACAATTCTATCTTCTATTGCACTGATTCTGTTTTCCATCCCTTCACCTCTATTCGTATGTCCCTCCATCATGTTGACAGCATCAGAAAGCTTAGTTTCATATTTTGGATCATGGTTTCTTGTTTTTCCAGTGCCTCTAATGCCTCATTGGTTTTCTCTGCATTCTTTTGGATTGTTTTTTTAAGCTCCTTCTGATTTTTGCTAGCACTGTTCTGTGATTCATCAAGTTTCTTTTTCATCCATTGAAAATATTCAATCATTGTTCTTTTAAATTCTGTGTCAGAAAGTTCCATCAGGATTTCTGGCTTCAGGAAATCCATTGCTACTGTGTCTTCTTAGGGGGGGTGATATCTTGTTTTGGGCTTGTGGTACAAGTGAACACTCTGCTTTCTATGGGCCATTGATGTGGCAGAGTTTTCTCATGTCTGAGGTGGTAACTGGTTTTTTATTTGACGTCACTGCTCCAGGAGAAGGTTGGGCAGGAACAAGAGCAGAAGTGTATAGGATGCATGCACACTCCAATGCTCACGTGAGTGAGGAGGGAAGAAGCACACACTGATACATGAGTGGAGGGATTCGGTGGAACCTAAATAATGAAGGAGGAAGTCTGTTGTTCCCTTTCTGAAATTGCTTCCCCACTCTTTGGAGATGCTCAGGATCTCCCTGTTGTCTGAGTTAATGGGCTCCATGTGGTCAGGCCAGAAACCAGTTTGTTTCTCCACATAACTTAATCCTCAATGGTACATGAGTATTTTAGGGAAGATTGATAAATCTTATAGATTTGGTATATATGATTGCCTTCCTGGGTCACAAGCCCTGGTCCAGCCCTCCCTCGACTGTCTTTGCAGATTTGCCACCAAAATCCAAGTTTTTAAAGATAGCGTTTCCCTACAGACCTCTGGGAGCTGTAGTTCTGTACCTGCGATTTGAAGGAAGGGGGGTGGGGCGGCTGGGGTACTGAGCATTTCTTAAGCTCAAGGAACTGAAGAACAAATTCAAACCTCGAGTTGCTATAATCAAGGATGCTTTAGGCAGAATATTAAATGATGCAGGAAGTTTTTAAAGATGATGGAAAGAATATTCTGAGTCACTGTATCAAAAGGAACTGGCAGACACAGAAGAATTTAATGAAATCCCATATGAGCAAG